GCTGGGATGGGACTGGGACAGACTGGGAGGCATTGGTGGCACGGTGTCCCCAACGCTGGCCGTGTCCCCAGACAACCAGTCCGAGTACTCGGTGGGCTCCGAGGAGGAGGACGAGGACTTCGACGAGCGGCCAGAGGGTGAGTGTCACATCTGTCACCTCAGTGTCACCTGTGTGTCCCCTATGTCACCTTTGTCACTTGTGTGCCACCTCAGCGTCCCTTCTGCCACCTCTGTGTTGTCTCAGTGTCCCCTGTGTCCCTTCTGTGGCCCGAGGGGAGTTTGAGTGGTCCAAGGGTGGGGTTTGGGTGGCCCAAGGGGAGGGGTCACGGTGGCCATGGAATGGTTTGGGTGGCCCCAAGGGGGGTCAGGGTGGCCATGGAGTGGTTTGGGTGGCCCCAAGGGGGTGTCAGGGTGGCCCGGGGCGGGTTAGGGTGGCCATGGGGTGTCAGGGTGGCCCAAGGGGGGGTGAGGGTGGCCCAAGGTGGGGTTTTGGGGGGTGCTGACCCCTCCCCTCCCCCCAGGCCGGCGTCAGTCCAAGCGGCAGCTGCGGAACGAGAAGGACAAACCCCTCCCCCCACTGCTGGCCCGGGTGGGCGGCAACATCGAGGTGAGGGGACATCGAGGGGGTTTGGGGACATTCCTGGGGACATCCCTGGGACTTGGGGACACTGCCGGGGTCACCTCCAGGACGGGTCCGGGGGTGCTCGGACACCTGAGTGATCTCTCCCCATTCAAATCCGAGGGTCAGGGGTCACCTGGACCCCGATGTCCTTGATGTCCCCGATGTCCCCAATGTCCCCTGTGTCCCCCCAGGTGCTGGGGTTCAACACGAGGCAGCGCAAGGCGTTCCTGAACGCTGTCATGCGCTGGGGGATGCCCCCCCAGGACGCCTTCACGTCCCAGTGGCTCGTGCGGGACCTGCGCGGCAAAACCGAGAAGGAGTTCAAGTAGGTGACACAGGGGACAGCTGGGGACAGCTGGGGACAGCTGGGGACAGCGGGGAGGGCTGGTGGCATCAGCGACAGGTGGTGGCATCAGCGACAGGAAGTGGCGTCAGGGATGGGTGGTGACATCAAGGACAGGTGATGTCAGGGACACGTGGTGGCATCAGCGACAGGCAGTGGCGTCAGGGATGGATGGTGACATCAAGGACAGGTGATGTCAGGGACAGGTGGTGGCATCAGGGACAGGAAGGGGCGTCAGGGATGGATGGTGACATCAAGGACAGGTGATGTCAGGGACAGGTGGTGGCATCAGGGACAGGCAGGGACATCGGGACAAGACTGACACCAGGTGGTGGCACTGGGGACAGGTGGTGGCAGAGTAGTGAGGTGTCCGTGTGTCCCCATGTCCTTTGTGTCCTTTTGTCCCCATTTCCCGTTTGTCACCTTGTCCTTATTGTCCCCATGTCCCCTCATCTTCCTCTGTGTCCCTGTGCCCTCCGTTGTCCTGTGTCCCCTGGTGTCCCCCAATGTCCCCAGTGTCCCCAATGTCCCCAATGTCCCCGGTGTCCCCGTGCCACGTGATGAGCCCTTACTCAGCCGAGCGCCGTCGCTGTCGGTGTTCCTGGGGAGCGGACGAGGCCGTGTCCCCCTCAGCCCGACACAAAGCCACCCCCGATGTCCCCGTGTCCCCTCGGGGGGCCGGGTCTGGCCCAGGGGACGCCAGAGCAGTGGCAGGTCCCTGCCGTGACCGGCACAGCCCCAAGGGGCGCCGTGACGAGGGGACGGGCTGATGGTGCAGGGACACTGGGGACATTGGGGACATCAGTGACATCAGTGACATCAGGGACACTGGGGACATCAGGGACACTGGGGACACTGGGGACATCAGGGACATTGGGGACATTGAGGATATTGGGGACACTGGGGACGTTGAGGACATCAGGGACATTGGGGACATCAGGGACACTGGGGACATCAGGGACACTGGGGACACTGGGGACATCAGGGACATTGGGGACATTGGGGACAGTGGAGACACTGGGGACACTGGGGGTATTGGGGACAGTGGGGACATTGGAGACAGGCAGGCTCCATGGGGACAAGGGACCTTGAGACTTCAGGGACAGGATCTGTGGGGACAGTGACCCCGGGGCAGGGTGGTGGCAGTGACAGGGGGTGGTGGCAGTGGCAGTGACAGGGGGTGGCAGGAGGTGCTGGCAGTGACCCCGGGGCAGGGGCGGTGGCAGTGACATCGGGTGGTGGCAGTGACAGCGGGTGGCAGGAGGTGGTGGCACTGACCCCGGGGCAGGGGCGGTGGCAGTTGGTGGCAGCGGGTGGTGGCCCTGAGCGCTGTCCCCAGGGCCTACGTGTCCCTGTTCATGCGTCACCTGTGCGAGCCGGGCGCCGACGGCTCCGAGACGTTCGCGGACGGCGTCCCCAGGGAGGGGCTGTCCCGGCAGCAGGTGCTGACCCGCATCGGAGTCATGTCCCTCGTCAAGAAAAAGGTACCTGCACACCTGGGGACACACCTGGGGACACACCTGAACACCTGGGGACACACGTGGGAGCACCCTGAACGCCTGGGGACACACCTGGGGACACACCTGAACACCTGGGGACACACCTGGGGACAGCTAGGGACACCCCTGGAGATACTCTAGGCACCTGGGAACACCTGGAGACAGCCCTGAACACCTGGGGACACACCTGGGGACACACCTGGGGACACACCTGAACACCTGGGGACACACCTGGGAGCACCCTGAACGCCTGGGGACACACCTGGGGACAGCCAGGGACACCCCTGGAGATACCCTGGGCACCTGGGAACACCTGGAGACAGCCCTGAACACCTGGGGACACACCTGGGGACACCTGGGTGGGATTTTGGGGTTGGTTTTGGGGTCCCTTGACCCCCCCTGTGTCCCTCCCCAGGTGCAGGAGTTCGAGCACATCAAGGGGCGCTGGTCCCTGCCCGAGCTCTGGGGGGAATTTTGGGGTTTTAGGGTTGGTTTTAGGGTCGGTTTTTGGGGTGGGTTTTCGGAGTTTTTGGGGTGGGTTTTTGGAGTTTTTGGGGTGGGTTTTCGGAGTTTTTGGGGTGGGTTTTTGGTGTTTTTTGGGCTGCCCTGACCTGGTTTCCCCCTCCCCAGGTGCAGGAGTTCGAGCACATCAACGGGCGCTGGTCCCTGCCCGAGCTGGCCCCGGAGCCCAGCGCCGACTCCAAGCGCTCGTCCCGCGCCTCCTCCCCCGCCAAGACCGGGCCCCCCAGCCCCGAACAGAGCGGCCCCCCCAGCCCAGAGCCCCCCACGCCCGGTACCGGACACGGGGGGACACGGGGGACACGGCTGGGGACATGCAGGGGACATGGGATGGGAATGGGGACACGGCTGGGGAAATGGGAGGGACATGGCTGGGGACATGGGGACACGCAGAGGACACGGCTGGGGACACGGGATGGGAATGGGGACATGGAGGGGCATGGCTGGGGACACAGCTGGGGACGCGGGGGGACATGAGGACATGGCTGGGGACACGGCTGGGGACATGGCTGAGGACATGGGGACATGCAGGAGATACGGGGAAATGGGATGGGAATGGGGACATGGCTGGGGACACGGCTGGGGACATGGGAGGGACACGGCTGGGGATATGGGGACATGGCTGGGGATATGGGGGGACATGGCTGGGGACACTAGGGGGACACGGGATGGATATGGGGAAAGGGGACAGGATGGGGACAGAGGGACAGGAGCTGGGGACAGACAGACGGGATGGGGACACTGCTGGGGACATGGGATGGGAATGAGGAAAGGTGACACAATGGGGACAGGTGACAGGTTGGGGACTAGGGACAGGATGGAGAGTGGGACACGAGGACAGGAGGGGACAGCGGGGTGGGGACACAGGGACATGGGGACAGAGGGATTGGGAGGATCCAGGGGGACAGGGGAGGGACACCAGGGGACAGGGGGACAGGATGGGGACAGATGTCCTGCTGTCCCCTGTCCCCAGCCACGCCGGCACCCAGCGAGCGCGGGGACGGGCCAGGGCCACCCCTGGACAGGGACGATGGTGACACCAGGGACGAGAAGGAGCCCAAAGGCCCCGAGAAGATGGAGACAGATGTGAGTGACACAGCTGTCCCCAAGCCTGTCCCCAGCGCGTCCCCTCCCTGTTCCCAGTCAACTTCTCCTTGTCCCCATTTCCATCCCGTCCCTGTCCCCAACCCTGTCCCCATCCCTGTCCCCGTGTGTCCCCCTCAGTGTCACCATCGGTGGGGGGGGTGGGTGATGTCACACCGAGGGTGACACCCCCTCCTTGTCCCCGCAGCCTCCTGTCCCCGAGGTGCCACCGTCCCCTGGGGATGGCAGCGAGGCCGAGGGGCCCCGCAAGGGGGACGAGGACGAGGGGCCTGGACACAGAGACCCCGAGGCCGAAGGGCCCCCGGCCCGCGAGGAGCGGCCAGGTGAGACCCCCCAAAACCCCCCAAAACCCCCCAAATCCCACAGAACCCCCCAAAACCCCCAAATTCCCCAAACCTCCCAAATCCCAGAACCCCAAATCCCCCAAACCTCCCAAATCCCACAGAACCTCCAAATCCTCCAAA